GCTTTGCCCCCAGCCACCAGCTCTGTGAGCTTCCCTCCACCCCTGAGAGAAAGAGCATGTGAAAGGGAAGAGAGAATCATCTTCTTTGCTGTAACCTGAACTTCAGCTTGGCTCACAAAAAAAAAAGGAAGGAAGGAGAGAAATTGTTTCTTTCATTGTTAATTACAGTCAGCAGAGATCATCTACAAGTCTCCTTATTCATTTGTCCCAGAGTTTTCTAGATGTATTGTACCATTGGATAAAGCAATACAGACCCACAGGGCATCTCTGAAGCTTTTCCCAGTGTTTCCGAATTGAGAGCTCTGTCGGTTTTAGACAGTAATGCGGGCTATCCTGCCACACTCACAACCGCATCGGGGACAGCCTCTGGACTCCAGTGTGTCCACACTTCTGCGTCAGAATGTGGACATTCACACCAAGGGCAAGAGAGAGAAGGTCAAACACTAGGTTTGCCACCCAGTTGGCTAGAAGGCTCTTTTCTACATTGTTTATTTGACTCACTGGGTCTCCATTGCAGTGCTCAGCCTTTAGTTGCAGCGTGTGGGCTCACTAGTTGCGGTGCCTGCGCTTAGTTGTGGCATGTGGGATTGAACCCAGGCCCCCTTGCATCGGGTCTTAGCCCCTGGACCACCAGGGAGGTCCCTAAATGGCTTTATTTCTTAGAGGTTTTCAGATTTTGGAATTGTGGCTAAGGAGGACCGGTAATATTCTTTTTTCCTTATGAAACCCCTCTCCCTGCAGAACTTGACCTTCATGATACACTTAAGAAATATGGAGGAGTTGGTAGAACATTAGCTTTCTGTGACCGCTTCTGAGTCTCGCATTCACCCTTTCTGTAACACTAGTGTAGCCTTCTGGCTTTAGTGCTGTAGCATTTTAGTACCAGGGGACCTCAAAATCACTGGTTTCAGCAAGAATTCTCCCATGTGAAGCCAGTTCTATTTGCCCAAGTTTTGTCCTGTAAATTATGAACATCTTACGTGAGCCAGAAAGAATCTGAAAAAGCATTCCCTCATTTTTAAAGGACAACAAGGACTTCCCTGGTGGCTTAGACGGTAAAGAGTCTGCCTACAATGCGGGAGACCTGGGTTCAATCCCTGGGTCAGGAAGATCTCCCGGAGAAGGAAATGGCAGCCCACTCCAGTATTCTTGCCTGGAAAATCCCATGGACGGAGGAGCCTGGTAGGCTACAGTCCATGGGGTGGCAAAGAGTCAGACACGACTGAGGGACTTAACTTTCACAAGCACCTTGTGGATTTTACTAATCCTCCTATCAAGTTTAATTTTTGCTTTCTTCACTTTATGCTGTCTTGGTTAAATGTATTGTAGCTGTTTTTTTTTTGGTGGCAAATCCCCTAGTTGACAGATTGCTAGAAAGCTGAGTTTTCCAGAGTAGGTCCTTCAAACTTCCTGTGTTTTATGACCAGGGTAGACAGTAAAAGCAAGGTCCATCATCTTAAGGAGAAAAAAAGAGCCGTAAATCAGACCAGCAGAGCATTGAGAGATCACTTTTTTGCTGGCAGCATTAATCACTATCTAAAAGTTTTGAATAAAATCAAATACTAAAAATAAGAAGACTTTGGTTTTATTCTTAGTTGAGCAAGTGACTTTCAAAGAGACCTTTTTTTCTTTTTCTGTTAATAAAAGTGGAAACTAACTTTTGTTTGGAACAAGGAACTGTTTTAGAGTGTTTTATAAGTTGGCATTTATCAGGGACCCTGAACTCTGGGGGAAATGTCCAAGTGGAAGATCTTGAGAGAGAAAGCTGGGCACTTCTAGCACATTCTTTTGGTTTCAGCTTCCCAAATCCCTAGAGATAGAGTGACCAGCTGTCCTGTTAAGGCAGCTTTGTGATTTGCAGTCCGAGTTTGGCCAGATTGCCTGACGGGCGGTCCCCCTCTAAGTTATCACAGATGTTTACAGACAGCAGAAAAGCAAACAGAACGTTTCTACATAGCTGTCCTTTGGGAAGGTTTAAGAGCCCTGGATCCCTTCCAGAATGTAATGGATTTGGATGGGTTTCACGCCTTTGTGATTTCTTGTTGTATTTGTCTGTGTCACCTTGCCCTGGGGGAGCACTCAAAAAGCCACTGCTGCTCCAGCCAGGATGTCAGACCTGGGACTCTCATCAGGGATGCTTGTTTGCCAACAAATGAGTGTTTAGTGGGTAAGACAATCCCTTCCTCCTTTAGTTCCATCCTTCCCCAAATATGCTTTAGATGAGTCTGAGTAAACCCAAATCCATACTTCAGCTCAACTGCCTTTCTTACAGTTGCATCCAGTAAAATTCAACCCATAGGGTGCCTCCCTAGGCACTGATGAATCAGTGAATCAAATCCCTGTTCTTGGGGAGCTTATAGTTAATAAACAGAGATCAGACCCCAAAACTCATTATTGTGGTCTCTTGGGTGTTTGAGGACCTGAGTATTTCTTTAAGCTATGTCTTGATAGCACGTGAGTAAAGATCCCAAGCTCTGCTTGGGAATTGAATCTTCCTAAACATAAGGAGGCAACCTGTTTGAAAAGCTCCAGTGACTGACAAATGTCTCCTACCCAAACCTGGACTCTGCCAGCCTGGCACAGAAGGTCCTCAAAATCTTAGCCTAGTCTGCCCTTTATTTGGCCAGACTGCCCCTTATACACCACCTACCCTGGTTGATCTCTTCAGTTCATAGTGTCTCGCCTCCATAGTCTGCTGGATTCCACTGAGAACAGAAATGAGATTCCTATTCTTTTCTTCATGCAGGTCTTGCCAAAGCCTGCTTTTATACTAGAGCCCACAGAGACTTTCCTTTCCTCCACACGTTTTAGTTTGTTGTTTGAATCGACATGATCCAATACTGCCCAACTCATCGGCTAGCTTTTAATTTGTACCTCTTGCTCCATGCCCTGAATTGTGAGCATTTTTTGATTGAGGACTATGTCTTTTTTATTTTAATATTTCCTACACTACTTCCTAATAGCAGGGGCTCCATAAATACATTCAACTTATTGATTATTAATCAATAAATTCTTGCCACTTGAGTGATAACAGTTCAAGGACTAGGATTTATTGATTTCAGCAGTTACAAATTGAGTTATTCTTTCCAGTTGGTTGTTCAAAGCCAAGATTCACAGGCTTCACTGTCACTGTTTCTTGTGGGGCTTCCCTTGTGGCTCAGCTGGTAAAGAATCCACCTGCAATGCGGGAGACCTAGGTTCCACCCATGGGTTGGGAAAATCCTCTGGAGAAGGGAAAGGCTTCTGTTTCTTAGTCCACTTGAAAAGTGCCCTTTCTGGGTGAAGCAGTAAGGTTACATCCATGTGCCTCTTTGTCACCATGTATGTGCACTTGAAGTCTGGAAGTGGTTTTGCCCAGAGACACTTGGCATCCAAAAGTCATGGCTGGAGGCAGTGTTTCTGGCTGGTTGGGGACCCACAGAAAGTCACATGACTGCAGTATTCCTTCTTCCCTTTGTATTTACCTACTGAGCACCTGTCTTGTTGCTTTTTAGATGCTACTGCCCAATGTCTGGGCCGCCAGTCTTTGCCTTGCTTTTCATGAGCAGCATGGAAGCTGCTACTATAGCTGAGGTTAGACCTGTTTGTGAAGGCAGGCTCCACAGGTGGCCTCTGCTCCCCAGCAGGGCCCTCGAGATGCTCTGGTGGACCAGTACAGACAGACCCCGGTACACACCAAAACCATCCCAAAGGGATGCTGCCGACAGCTCTAGAGGTAGACAGTGGGGGCCAACACCCAGATGTCTTGTTCCAATGGGGGACGCAGGTCTGCTGAGTGCGTATGGGGGAGTCAAGTCTCTGAAAACCTCTGGTTAAATGTGGCAAGTTTAAAGTATCTTCCAAACCTGAGAATGTGTGAGTCTGCAGAGGAAGTCTGGCCCGGGGACCAAATGCATAAGACGTCCTTCTCATGCCTAATAATCAGCTTCACACCTTCTGAGTTTTTTCTGGACCTTGTCAAAACCAAATGACTTGTACACAAAACAGAAACAGATCCACAGACATAGAAAACAAATTTATGGTTATCGAAGGGGAAAGGGCTGGGAGGATAAATTAGGAGCTTGGGATTAACATAAACATGCTGCTAAATACAAAATGGTTAACCACCAAGGACCTGCTGTATAGCATAGAAAACTTTGCTCATTATTTTGTAATATATATATGTAAAACTTAATCACTTTGCTGTACTCCTGAAACTAGCACAACTTTGTAAACCAACGAGATTCCAATCGAAACAATTTTTAAAGTCAAATTTTTTGAGAATTTGAGAATATGTTTTAATTATCATGTTTCAGAACATAAGCAGGGGGGAATTTCTTTTTTAATTAGGAAGAAAGAGGTTAATACACTGGACCAGTGATTTCTGAATGTAGATAACTTAATATAGTGAAATCATGCCTTATTAACAGGCCAATAGCATCTTATAAAGAACACCACATTTTATATAATAAGGAATTTTTAAATTATCTTGATTTTAAAGAGCAAATGTTATTGATTTGTCATATTTTGGACAACAGTTCCTAGCATATGGTTAATCCAGGCAAAGAAAACTGGCCTATTGGTTAATGAGGGAAACAGTTCACGGTGAAAACAGTTGAAAACAACTCCATTCTCAGAGCCCACGACTGGGCCCCCAGGAGCTCCCTGAGGCCCCCCCCCCGGGACACTGATGACCCCCTCCCACATCCCTGCTGCCCAGGGACACTCATCTGCACCCGCCTGGCATGCCGGGCTTGAAAAGGACCCGCAGGCATCCCAGAGGGATCCCTGCCCTGCTGTGTGCACCACAAGGATAGGCCACTGGGCTCTGCATGCTGTGCATCCCCTTGTGGCTCTCTTAAGTAAATCAGTGCAAAGAAAGCACCACTTTTCACTAAAGGAGCACAGACATGGGGTGTGAGGACCAGATGGCGGGGGTCGGGTCTCCTGGTGTGGTGCGGTGGTCTTCTCCCGGGCCAACCGTGTTTCTGCCATGCCCCCTGTGTGCCCCTGTCTTGCAGCAATGAAGTGGTGAGGACGGACCTGAAGAAGCTGCCAGCGCTTCCCACACAGGCCCTGAAGGAGCACCCCTCCCTGGCTTACTGGTAAGCGCTTTCCTCTGCACGCCCCAGCCATCCCCCGAAGGAAGGAGCCCCTCCTAAGGAGGCAAGGGACTCCTGGCGACTGGCCACCCTCCCCACCACCACGGGTCAACCTGGTCTCCAATCAGAGCGATTCCACACTGTATCGAGTGGCCCAAGCCTTCATGAATCCATTTTTTGCATTTATTTAAATGACACGGAATATGAGAGCCATTTTTTTTCCTATTTTCTTTCTTTCTTTTCCTCTTTTTTTTAATAAAAGGGAAAACTTCTAAAATTTCACTTTGGATGCCTTGCCTCCTTGGAGAACCCTTCATGAACTGCTAGAATTTCGCTTTGGGATCCTTGTCTTTTGATGACAGCATGTGTGACAGCATGGTTTTGAGATGTGGGAGGATGAGAGGGGTTTCTTCTTTGCAGAAGAGGGAGGTTGATTCTTTTCTTTTCCCACAATGTTTCATATCTCCTGATGTAGCTGCCGTGTAACATTACACCATAGTTCATCTGTTAGGCCCTACACTACTGATTCTCAATGAATCGGGCATTTGAACCGTTCGCAGATTGTGGTTCAGGTTACAGTGGAGTGGGTTTTGCATGGCTGGGTAGTGTGTTGAAATACTGTAGGGCCAGCGAGCCCCAACCACCATCCTTTGAAAGCAAAACGCCACTTCCCTAATCATTCTTATGACTCTGTAACCAAAAGCACTTTTTGTTAGGCTTTTGTAAGGGCTTTTTTTTTTTTTCTTTTCTTTTTTCCATTTATTTTTATTAGTTGGAGGCTAATTACTTTACATCATTGCAGTGGTTTTTGTCATACATTGAAATGAATTAGCCATGGATTTACATGTATTCCCCATCCCAGTCCCCCCTCCCACCTCCCTCTCCACCCGATCCCTCTGGGTCTTCCCAGTGCACCAGGCCCGAGCACTTGTCTCACGCACCCAACCTGGGCTGGTGATCTGTTTCACCCTAGATAATATACATGTTTCGATGCTGTTCTCTTGAAACATCCCACCCTCGCCTTCTCCCAGAGTCCACAAGTCTGTTCTATACATCTGAGTCTCTTTTTCTGTTTTGCATATAGGGTTATCGTTACCATCTTTCTAAATTCCATATATATGTGTCAGTATACTGTAATGGTCTTTATCTTTCTGGCTTACTTTGCTCTGTATAATGGGCTCCAGTTTCATCCATCTCATTAGAACTGATTCAAATGAATTCTTTTTAATGGCTGAGTAATATTCTATGGTGTATATGTACCACAGCTTTCTCATCCATTCGTCTGCTGATGGGCATCTAGGTTGCTTCCATGTCCTGGCTATTATAAACAGTGCTGCGATGAACATTGGGGTGCACGTGTCTCTTTCAGATCTGGTTTCCTCGGTGTGTATGCCCAGAAGTGGGATTGCTGGGTCATATGGCAGTTCTATTTCCAGCTTTTTAAGAAATCTCCACACTGTTTTCCATAGTGGCTGTACTAATTTGCATTCCCACCAACAGTGTAAGAGGGTTCCCTTTTCTCCACACCCTCTCCAGCATTTATTGCTTGTAGACTTTTGGATAGCAGCCATCCTGACTGGCGTGTAATGGTACCTCCTTGTGGTTTTGATTTGCATTTCTCTGATAATGAGTGATGTTGAGCATCTTTTCATGTGTTTTTTTGCCATCTGTATGTCTTCCTTGGAGAAATGTCTGTTAAGTTCTTTGGCCCATTTTTTGATTGGGTCATTTATCTTTCTGGAGTTGAGCTGGAGGAGTTGCTTGTATATTTTTGAGATTAATCCTTTGTCTGTTGCTTCGTTTGCTATTATTTTCTCCCAATCTGAGGGCTGTCTTTTCACCTTGCTTATAGTTTCCTTTGTTGTGCAAAAGCTTTTAAGTTTCATTAGGTCCCATTTGTTTATTTTTGCTTTTATTTCTAAAATTCTGGGATGTGGGTCATAGAGGATCCTGCTGTGATTCATGTCGGAGAGTGTTTTGCCTATGTTCTCCTCTAGGAGTGTCATAGTTTCTGGTCTTACATTTAGATCTTTAATCCATTTTGAGTTTACTTTTGTGTATGGTGTTAGAAAGTGTTCTAGTTTCATTCTTTTACAGGTGGTTGACCAGTTTTCCCAGCACCACTTGTTAAAGAGGTTGTCTTTTTTCCATTGTATATCCTTGCCTCCTTTGTCGAAGATAAGGTGACCATACATTCGTGGATTTATCTCTGGGCTTTCTATTCTGTTCCATTGATCTATATTTCTGTCTTTGTGCCAGTACCACACTGTCTTGATGACTGTGGCTTTGTAGTATAGTCTGAAGTCAGGCAGGTTGATTCCTCCAGTTCCATTCTTCTTTCTCAAGATTACTTTGGCTATTTGAGGTTTTCACCATTGCAACAAAAAGAATAAAATACTTAGGAATATATCTACTTAAAGAAACAAAAGACCTATACATAGAAAACTATAAAACACTGATGAAAGATATCAAAGAGGACACAAACAGATGGAGAAATATACCGTGTTCATGGATTGGAAGAATCAATATTGTCAAAATGGCTATACTACCCAAAGCAATCTATAGATTCAATGCAATCCCTATCAAACTACCAACGGTATTTTTCACAGAACTAGAACAAATAATTTCAGGGCTTTTATTTTAAAATAATAAGATAAAAATCACAGAACAAGTCAATTTTGTTGCATTATAACATATGACTTTTCAGCATTTCTTTTAATACACTTTACGAAGTTTACAGTTTAATAACATTTCATCTGTCCAGACACCTTTCCCATTGCCAAACTAGTTGTTCAGTCATCTGGGTGGCTTTAGGGGATTCCTTTGGCTGGGATGGGGTGTGTCTTACTGTGGAGGGCATTAGCAGGATGAAACTCTAGGACATAAATCATGTCTTGCCAAGAGACCAAACGATGGGGCAGCTGGACAGGAAATAAAAGGGCTGAACCCTGAGTCTGTGAGCTTCCACCTGTGTGTTGGCATTCTCGGTTTCATTTCTCTGAACTGTTTGTTGCTAGTCTTTTCTTGGTAGCATAGATGTGATGAACAGTGCTCAGGGCCTTATTATTTGCCTTCAAAGAACGAGATTGGTTTAACACACAAAGACTTTGCATGTGTCAGTTTCCAAACTTCCCGCCTGGCAGCGTGCACATACAAACACCCCAGATGGCACTCTTGTTTCCTTTTTGTGGAACCAGATTGCCCTCTCCCCAGTTCCTTATGCTCCCTGTGCTGCTTATGCTTCCTTCTCTGTCCTCCCAGTGGTTTATTTTCAGGAAACTAGTGATGAAGGGACTGGAGCTGCAAGGAGATAATTCACAAAACTGGTAGTTCCTACCTGGTGAAATGTATTTGCCGGCAGAGGCTGTAATGTTGCTGGCTTGTCTGGAGTTGGAGTTGCTTTGAGCCTAATGAATCCCTCAGTTATCTCATTTGTGTGAATCCCTCAGTTATCTCATTTGTGTGTTTCCAAATGTTGTTTATACCCTGGCTGCTCATTTCAGAGCTATGAACCCCTTTTCTCTCTCTCCTTCCTGTCTCTGGGTTTTCTTCTGTTATCTCCATAGCTGCTCTGTGTGCAAACATCATCACTGACCCATGACTCCTTCCTTCACGCTGGTACTCTCTCTTTTGTCAGTATGAACACCTTCATCCTCATCCATGCCTCTAGCTGTCCTGCCAGAACAGCCCTGCATCTCTGTGACCAGGCCCACACTTTCCCCAGGTCTCATTTGGACCCAGAGGCAAATGTTACTGTCTAAATGTCCTAGGAGGATGACAGGACAGAGGGAGGGATGCTTTTGAAGCAGGTACCCCCAGGTTCTACAGCTCAGCTTGTACACAAACAAGCCAGTGGGATGAACCATTGTCATTATGCATAGCTTAAAAGAAAAAAAAAGGCACCCCCACACACAGATGCAGTAGAGAACCTTCGGGCCTAAATAAGCCATAGGGATCCTGTCCACACTAGCCAGGGAAGGCGTTACAGCCTAGTGAGCAGAACAGTACATTTAGGATCCCAGCCATGTCTCTGAGCTGTGGGATAATAACAGTCCAGGAAGCTCTGCTGCCTTGATTTTCCATCTGTAAAATGGGACTAACCATACCAGCCAAATCCAGACTGTAATTAAGAGAGGAATATTAATAAACAAGCACATAATGCAGTTAGAAAGTTGTGAGCAGTGCACAGTAATGCCAAGCCATCACCCAATAATCCCTTCTGCTCATTTTCCCCAAGCGTTCCACGGGCTTGGACTTCTCACCCTGCATGATCTCCTTATGGGAGGGTGGCATCGAGTCACACAGTGCCCAGGGCCCCGGAACAAGGTAGCATCAGGGCCCTGACCTGGCTTCTCTTGATGCAGAACCACAAATACACCCAGACAGGGCATGAGGGGATGTCTTCCTTTACTCTGAAATCACTGGCTCCTGCCGGCCGACGGCTCCTCCAAGACAGGGAGCCCTGTGGCCGTTGCCTTGTTTCTGGGTTCCCTGCGTGCAGAGATGATTGACCTTGACAGCACGACCCAGTCCCCGCCTGGGGGCACCATCAGGCTGGGTCACTTGCCTTTTTGCTTCATGTAACACCGTGTCCTCCAAATGGTGTTTGGGGATTCCGTTTTCTCTGGCTGGTGGGTCTCTGATAGTAATCCCATGGAGGAGTAGTTGGTGCCATGATCATCTGTCAGGCCCCGTGGAGGGACGGGGAGTGGAGGGGGTCCCGGGAAGCAGGACATCACATGCCTGCCCACAGTGTTTCCACTGGGACAGACAGAGAGGGGAAAGCCAAGAAAACAGGAAGATACTGAGACCTCGCAGAGGGTCTCAGATGGCGGGAGAGGGTGGGGGTGGCAGATCCTGCAGCTGTCAGGCTCAGTGAGGCCCCAAGGGTCAGGCCATTTATTTTGTGGACAGCTGCACAGCTGCCTGCCGGTGTTTCTGACCCCGCTGGTGTTTTTCCTGAGCCGTGCTGGTGTTCACCACTACAGCGCTATGTTGAATTCCAACCCCCATCCCAGCCTAGGGAGCCAGGGACCCTCTTTGCGACTCTATGAAGGAAGTGGGCTTGTAGCTATACTGTGTGGCTTGACCCCGGATCTGAAGGTCAGCCTCCCTAAATGCTACATCATCGTGTGCCCACCCGGCTCTGGATTCAGCAGGCAGCTGGAGAGGAAGCTGGAAGGGTGACCCCAGAATGTCCTGACCCCACTCTGATGGTCTGTGAGGCTGGCGTCCACCCCAGCAAGGACACTTGTGGAGAATTTTCTGTCAGGAGAGGGCCTTGTCCCCCTCGATGCAGAGCCACCATGGTGTGAGGTGTGTGGGAGCCAGGGAGAAACATGGCCACATCTGCCCCTTTCTGAACAGAGGGTGCTTGGACCCCGTAGACTGGACTCTCAGCTAGACAAAGGCCCGTCATAGCCAGTCATTCCCCATCTGGGACATCAGGAAAGACACTTTCCTGCCAGGGGCCAATCTTGCACAAGTCAAATTTCAGAATACTAACATGCAGAGATATTCACAGAAGATTAAGAGAGTAACTAGAAGAAAAATAAACTACCCCCAAGTACTAGGTAATAAACATACAGAATGTGTGCTCCCCTCCCCAGAAGTGACCTCACTAATAAGAGGTGGGTGAAAGAAGGCTTTCAGTCCGCTCTGGGATAATAAATGAATCATAGCTTGTAAAGTTTGACTGAGGAGGTCTTGAGGGTTCATCCCTGAAATTACCTCCCATCGTGGAGTCCACAGGCTGTGGGGAGGAAGAGTAAGGTGGAGGCCCGAGGAAGAAGGTTCCAAGGTCTCAGAGGCCAAGCTTTTGGACTTGACCTCCCAGCAGGTGGAATGTGGTTCCTGAGTTGGGCTTGGCATTTCCAAAGGCATCGGGATACAGGGTTACTTCCCAGGAGGCCCTTCACACTGTCTGCCTCGTCACAGGAGGGTGAGGCCCCCATGCCCCTCAAGGAGCGACCTAACCTCTCGCTATGTTAGACCTGAGATTTCAGAAGGTTACCGGGTCCCCATCTGGCTTCCGATGGCTGCCTTCTTATCTCACAATGCTCCTGTGGGCCTTTTATTGCTCTATGATTTGTGTTAACCAGCCCCAAATTCCTGAACTTTCCCATCCTCCTTAGACACCCTCAATTCTTAACTGCTAACAGGGTAGAGAGGCCATGAATGTCCTGTTAAGGTCAACACCTGCTTCCCCCTGCCTGGGCAGATGGAATTTAGGAGGGAGAAGGGGGAGGAGGACCCAATGGAGGTTGCCAGGAGTGTCCACATGGACCTCCAGCAGTAGCCGTCTCCCTGTCCTCATCCTGCATCCCTCCCAACTGGGATGCATGCTCCTTTCATGCATCCTCTGCTCCCACAAGGAGTCTGATCCCCCAAACCTGAGCTAAACTCAAGACAAAGAGAGTGGGTCCTCTGAGGGGAAGGTGGACTCTTCTGGTATTTCTGTCGCCCTGGACATCTCACTTCGGCTGGGTTCCAAAATGCTGCTTCCAGGACAAATCATTCTTCCAGGAGCTTTTGGCTTCTTGGAGCTGCTCGTGAGGATGTGGGGCTCATGATCTTTTCATGAGGAGGGCTCGGGGCCGTCACCTGGAGACTGAGGTAGAGACTCCTTTTCCTCTCGTTCTAGTGAGGACCGGGTCATCGAGCACTACAAGAAACTCAACGGCCAGACCAGAGGCCAAGCCATTGTCAAGTAAGTACCCCGCCCCTCCCAGTGCTGATGAGGTTGTGTGTATGTTCACATAGAAAATGTCAGGATTGTTCAGTTCTTCCGGGAGAGACTCCAGTGGGTGGTGGTTCCATTTAATGTTCAAGTAATAACCATTCTGAGAACTTTATCATGTACACACAGACACCAATGGATGTATGATATCAGTCCTGCTGAATAACCACGTGTGTGCATGTGTGTGTTGTTTTGTTTTAACAGCTACATGAGCATTGTAGAGTCTCTCCCAACCTATGGGGTTCACTATTACGCAGTGAAGGTAAGTGAGCTCATTTGGTGAACATTGCCAACATGCCCTTAAAAAGATTCTCATTTCTTTCTTTTTAATCTTAGTGAAGTTTTGGGGGGTTTGGGGAGGACTCAGTCAGGGAGATCGCATGCTGGGGGAGTTAGGACCATGGAACACCCCCCCCCCCTCCCCAGTGTAGTAAGACTTGATTCAAAGACTCTCCAAAATTCACTTTCACTTTTGTGAAGTGGGTGTGATAAATGCCTACTTCCTTTCAATTCTCAGAAGAATCCTGGAGATCAGGACCACAGAGCCTCTCAGTAGGAAGATTCCAAGGAACTATAGAGAACAAAAACTTAAGCAGAATCAACAATGTTTCTCTTGGTGGTCAAATGCCACATAGGCAGCCAAATAGGAGAAGTGGGACTATGGGTTGAGAAATCAACAGCCTCTATCTTCTTAAATATGCTGATGGCAGATCCAATGTGACACTGGCCCCATTGTAAATTCTTTTACATTTGATACATAATGTCCAAGACTGGGATCCCTTCTTTGCAGTAATGGATAATGATGTTCCCAGGCTCCTTTTTCTATCCTGAGAAAGGATAACTTCATTTCCTTCATTTACCCCAACGTGAAGTTTATCAAAATCATTGCCCCAAGTCTGGACAAAAGAAACAGAAAACCTTTCTCAACTCAAGTCAGTCCCACCAAGCAACCCAATATTCTCAGGCTCTTCCACCACTTTCCTTCCCCATGTTTCTACCTGACTGTATTTTTTATAAAGATTTGTTTATTTACTTTGTTTTTTGTCTGTGACTGGTCTTTGTTGCTACATGCAGGCTTTCTCCAGTTGCAGTGAGTGGTGGCTGCTCTTCCTTGTGGTGCTTGGCCATCTCATTGTGGTGGCTTCTTGTTGCAGAGCACTGGCTCTAGGCACTCAAGCTTCAGTAGTTGTGGCACACAGGCTTAGTTGCTCCATGATATGTGGGATGTTCTGGATCAGGGATCAAACTAGTATCTCTTGCATTGCAAGGTGGATTCTTAACCACTAGACAACCAGGGAAGCCCCACCTGACTATACTTTTAATTCTTTTAGACCAGAGTGTGCCGTGTTTCATTCATTATTGTGTCAATGGCATTTTGCACATCCTTGGTGTGCATTTAATGGCCTGTATCTTCCTCTAAACTGCAGCCTTCTGATAACAAAGACTGTGTTGTATTCTGTTATATATTCCTGGAATCCAGCAGAATCTGGCATAGTGCCTGGCATGTAGTAGGTGCTCAGCAAATATTTACCAAGTGCCTTTATTGAGAATTGAATTGAGTAGTTGGATGTATATATTTCCATGATGGGAACAGATATCAGAGTGATATTTGTGGAGCCCAGTTTTGAGGCATATATGGGGACTCCAGTCCCTCCCAGCAGCTCATCTCCAGATCTATCACAGCCTGCAGTGGTTCAGTTCTTCCTGATGTCCTTCCAACACCCTTTCCACCAATGAAAGCTCTTCATCTCTCTTCACCATGATGCACAGAACTCAGAACCATGGCAGTCATCCCTGTCTTTCTCAAGTCTAAGCTATAGTCTTGTCATGAGAAATATGACCTGGCCTTCTGAGCTAAATTCTGTCCCACATGAAAAGTGTGAATTATCTAAGGAGACAATCCCTGTACCGCTCTGCCCAGGGATATGGCCCCTGAAATCAGTGGGCAGTCAACTCCCCAAAAGAAAATTGAATTGATCATGAAAAAGAGATTCAAAATCCCCCCTGCTGGCTGCCAGGGTTCAACTCTTACACTGTGACTGAGTCTAGAACCCATGTCCATTTTGCTATCTTGCTACCATAAAGGAAGTAGGAGGACCCAGCGTTAGTCCTGACATTATTACAAGAGGCATATCACAGAAATCAAACTGTGAGTCTCTCTGTCACTTGTGGAAATATCCCACGGTGCTGTTTAGCAGAGAGGTCTGAATTCATGAATGGAGCCAGTAATTCAGGAATCCCTGACTCCATTCCATTCTCTGATTTGCTGTTTGTCTTAAGCATGATCTCACCTCTGGTGCTCATAATTAAAAGAGAGATTAAGGGATTTCCCTGGTGTCCAGTGGCTGAGGAGACACCTTGCAAGGCAGGAGACACAGGTTCAATCCCTGGTCAGGGAACTAAGATCCCACATGCCACAGAGCAATTAAGCTCATACTCCACAGCCCCAGAAGCCCCTGCACTGTAACTGCTGAGCTCAAGCTCCACAATGAAAGATCCCACATGACAACCACATGCTACAACTAAGACCTGACCCAACTAAATAAATAAATACATATTGAAAATAAATAGAGGCTTCCTTGGTGGCTCTGTGGTAAAGAATTTGCCTACCAGTGCAGAAGACACGGGTTCAATCCCTGGTCTGGGAAGATCCCACATGTCATGGAGCAACTAATCCTAGCTGTCACAACTACTGAGCCAGTGCTCTGGAGCCTGGGAACTGCAACTACTGAGTGCATATGCCACAGCTACTGACGCTGAACCACCCTGGATCCTGTGCCTCCCAACAAGAAAAGCCACCACGCGGAGAAGCTGGCACACCACAACTAGGGAGGAGCCCCTGCTCGTCACAACTAGGGAAAAATCCCGAGAAGCAGCGAAGACCCAGCACAGCCAGAAGTAAATGAATAAAGATAATATACGTGTGTATATAGATAATAAAATAAACAAATAAAATAGAGATTAATAAATTTGCTTCTCCAACTACTCCACAAAAATTTTCTAAGTATTAGAAGACTATTGAGATAGGTTGAGATACCTAGATGGAAAGGCCTTCAGATGGAACTTCATTTGGGTTTTACGAACACAGTGTAAACCTGAATTCTGTTTCCTCGTCAGCCCTAGAACTTGACGAAAGAACAACCTCTGATATGCATGCTATCTGCCATCCAATAAAACTTTAGAAATATGCTCCTTTGCTGTTTGTGAGAGACCAGAAACAGACCTTGTGAATCTCTAGGTGCCGGGTGTGCCTGTGTGTTTGACTTTTGGACTCTCAAGCTTGCGGGATTGCTCTCCCACTTATTTAGAGAAAGAGCCTAAACAACTATATCGAGACTCACTGTTTGGTGGCCTTCCTTGTAAATTTCACAGATGCCACATGTCTTGGTGTGATAATACCTCTTGCCTCAACAATCTGGAACCACAGTGGCTTTCATCTGTCCTCTTGTTCTGTTCTTCAAAACCAGTGTAGTGACATGGGCACTTTCCAGAGACGGGAGTTTTATACCATTACAGAAATTTAGAAGCTGTTCTAAAACTTTTAAATGTAGTTCTTCTGCTTTTACCTTTGTGCTTACCTTGAAGCACAAACTCATGCCCCGCAAAACCCTGAAGCCAACTTTGAGCTTTCAGGACGTCCACCATGGGCTCTTAGGTCATTCATCCATGTGGCAATTAGAACAAATCCAGGGAAAGGCTGCTTGATATGCCCACTGCCAATTCCTAGCATTTGGGATCGTCTCGTTAACAATCACCCTACTTGAATGGAGATTTACTATCTGGGGGCCAGAGGTCTCTGTTAAAGGAATAGACAGAGGGTCTTGGCATTTCTCACTCTGCCCCCGAAGTGTCTAGGCTTCAATTTTGTTACTCTGTCCTGTAGCCTGAGTCACCCAGGCCAGCCTGGAAGCCACTGTCCTCGTAAGTGAGCAGGACACATTGGGAAGCACCTGCTCGCCCTGCACTGCCATCAGCCTGCTGGGGGCAGGGGGGAAAAGGAGGGTCCTGAGTACAGTAGGACACAACATCTGCATGATTTCCTTGTCTAAAACGAGAGGAGTTTGGGACTTCCCTGGCGATCCAGTGGTTAAGGCTTTCCCTTCCAATGCAGAGGGTGCTGGTTTGATCCCTAGTCAGGGATCTAGAATCCGACGTTCCTTGGAGCCAAAGGGCCAGAACATGAGACAGAAGCAACATTATAACAAATTCAATAAAGACTGTAAAAATGGTCCACATTAAAAAAAAAAATAGCTAACATAAGAAAGAGATGCACAACTTAAGAAAAAATAAGAAGAGTTGATCTATGTATAACTGATTCACTTTGCTATACAGAAGAAACTAACACAACGTTATAAATCAACCCTAATCCAAAAAAATTGTTTTTAAAAATTAGAGCAGTCTTAAATGCATATTACTAAGTGAAAGAAGTCAATCTGAAAAGGCTGCATATTGTATGATTCCAACTAAATGCCATCCTGGAAAAGACAAACCTGGTTGCCAGAACCTGGGATGAATAGATAAGAACACACAGAATTTTTAGAGCAATGAAAATACTCTGTGCAACACTATATGATTGATATATATCTATACACGTTTGTCCAGACCTATGGAATGTACAATCCAAGAATGGATCCTGAGGGAAGCTATGGACTCTGGGTGACTGAGATGAGTCAGTGTAGGTTCATCAGTTACTACAAAAGTACCATTCCAGTGTGGGGTGTTATTGATAGGGGAGGCTGTACACGTGTAGGGACGAGAATATATGGGAAATCTTTGTACCTTCCTCTCAATTTTGCCACGAACCTAAAACTGCTGTAATAAAAACTTAAAATCTTTTAAGGCAAAATTTTTAGGGGGGTCACCTTTCATAGTTTCCATGGTTCCTTCCAACTCTGACAGCCGATGACAGTTTCTCGGCTCGGAAGGTCATTTTGTCAGTGCTCAGCATCTCTCAGATTTTCCTTAGTTGGGGGGGTGGGCAGGGAGTGGAGGTGGGCAGCGCTGAAAACCTAAAGTCTTCGAAGGAGAATGGAGAACAAGGCATCTGCTTTTGACTCAGAATGGGGGAGACAACCACAGCTATGCTGCTGGTTAGGAGTGGAGCTGGGTCCCCAGCCCAGAGCACTTTCCAAGTCACATCACTGAGCATCCTTTGATGACAGGGCACACCTGTCAAGGTAAATCGTAGAGAGGTGGGCTCCATCCCTGTCAAAGAATTTGCTTTTCCCTTTGTCTTCAGATGAAGCCGATCTCTTGGCTCGTGTTTCTCTCCTCTGGTCCCGCTTACCCGTGCTCCTTTTGGTGTCCTAGGACAAGCAGGGGATACCGTGGTGGCTGGGCCTGAGCTACAAAGGCATCTTCCAGTATGACTACCATGATAAAGTCAAGCCCAGGAAGGTAAGCATGCTCTCCTTGGTGGGCCAGTGGTGCTCCGGTGGAGGGAGGAACAGGCTGAGAAGTGACAAAAATTGTAGCCGTGAGCCCTCGGGGCCTCTGGGCTCCCCAGTCTCCTGATAAGTGGGGTGTATACAGACTACTCCAAACTCATCCAGTCTGCCTTCTCTGGGCAAATACTTTTCCTTCCTGTCACTAAGGAAACAGAAGCTGTAAAATTATTTAAGGTAGGAAGACTAGGAGATTTCCAGGTGGCGCTAGTGGTGAAGAACCTGCCTGGCAATGCAAGAAACACAGGAGATGCGAGTTTGATCCCTGGGCTGGGAAGGTCCCCTGGAGGAGGGCATGACAACCCACTCAAGTATTCTTGCCTGAAGAATTCCATGGACAGAGGAGACTGGCGGACTACAGTCCATGGGGTCACAAAGAGTCAGACATGACTGAAGCGACTTAGCACATATACAACAAGAAGACTAGGTCAGCTTACCCAGAGCAGATGAACAATAGGACTCTAACAGACCATTCTGGCCCTTCATTCTCTGGGATGCTGTGCTAATGGGAATGTGAAGGAGTGTCTCTCTTGAATCCTGAGGCTAATCTGAGTTTTCCCAAAGGTTTTCTTTTTTGTTTTTTTAGAAAGGGTGGGGGGAACCTAAAAGAAGAGATCGTAGGTCAGAAAGAGGTGAAAAATAAAGAAGCATGAGAGGCTTGCCTGCCAATCCAGTAAATATTTTCTGGCATGTTAGAAGCGATCAGAAATCTGGAAGAAATAAGACCACTTGCCAAAAAAGAAAGGGAAGCTTAACAGAGTATATAGTCACGGTGAAGCCAAAACAGAATGTTTGAAGGGGACACAGGACTTGGACTTTCTCTGCTTTCATTTCTACACATTTTTCAGACCAGAACAAATTGAAAAATTATAATGGAAAAAATGTTTCTGAGGCGAGAGCTGTCATTCAGCTCCTCCAGGCAGAGAAGAAAATGGGGAGACAGTATGCGAATCAGACCCTGAAATACAGATTAAAAGTCTATCAAAACCACACTTGCTTTTGGTTTTGGAGGGAGAAAGCCGTATGAGTCATTATGTCACTGCAGAATACTTTCCAAGCTGCTTTATCCACGAGCAGGATTGAAATCCACGCTACACATCCGAGCTTATTGTAGTCTTATCCAGTGGACATCTGCCCTTAGCCAGCTTCTCATTAAACTGATAGAGAAAAAGTGGCTCTGTGTTGAGGAGGATTTTCACTCAATTGATCAGTAAGTCGGTTAAGTTCTATGAAAAGATCCTGAGCCTGTGATGGAGGAATTCTTCCTTGGGGACAATTCAGAAGGAACCTGGCTGTTCCGGGGATGATTGTTCTGTGACTATTTTCAAAACCCCTCCAGTTTCCTGCTGTGAGATGTGATTTGGACTCTGCGTTCTTATTTTTTCTTCTTTGTCTTTCTCAGTCACTGGGTCTGTACTTCTTCACTCTTAACTTTGTTTCTTTTTTACCTCTTTCTCTTATAACCTTTATAAATTTCTGTGCTTTTTCTTGAATTTTCTCTTTACTCCTTTCTTCTTTTTATTTTTTAAACTTTTTAGTTTATATTGGAGTCTAGCTGTTCAACAACATTGTGAAAGTTTCAGGTAAATGGCAGAGTTACTCAGCCATACAGGTATATGTATCCATTCTCCCCCAGACTCCCCTCCCATCCAGGCTGCCACATAACATTGAGCAGAGTTCAATGTGCTATATAGTAGGACCTTGTTGGTTATCCATTTTAGATGTAGCAGTGTACACATGCCTATCCCAGACTCTGTAACTATCCCTTCCCCCCACTCTTTCCCCAACGGCAACCTTAAGTTTGTTCTCTTCAGTCTGAGTCTGCCTCTGTTTTGTAAATAAGTTCATTTGTACATTGACTGTCCCCTCTGTCGCATCTGCTTGGCTATTTTTTCTGCTTGCAAGAGCCACAGAGACTCCTAGATCCTTTAACCCAGTCCTAGTAACAATATATGCATCTCTCACTTGCCCCACTGGTGGAGACCAAGGCCAGCTTGGACGACAGAGTCTACAGTGGAATTCGTTAAAATCCCATGGCTGAACTCTTCTCTCCCTCTGAATGTTTTTGGAAAACGTGCTAACTAGTATTGGTACGTGTTCAGTTCGATTTGTTAATATGTTTAAGCTTGCTTTGTTTCTCTAATTGAGGCGCTAATGAAGGTTTTAGATGTAGTGAGGTAGCCTCGATATTTGTGAAACATACAACACGCAGCACAGGGCTTCAGTAAACTGTAACTATTCCTGTAAGACTCCAAGAGAGACTTCAAAATAATGAAAAGTAGGAAGCAAAATGTGTGAATAATCACCCTTTGAATAAGAGAATTTACTCTCATTGGTTGACTTTATGCAGGTCAGTGGATTAAAAACATTAACAAGTGAATACATGTATTCAGGATATTGACTGTATTCAAACTGAGTTGTTACTGAAAATGTTGCATGCTTCTGTGTCCCCTAAGGAAGCATTTGGGATTCTCAAGTCTGTCACTAACTGAGGAACAACCAGGCCATTAGAGTCACTATACATTGGTTTCTTCATTCCTTCAGAAATGTGTTGTGCATACCCTCTATGCATCAAGCAGGCCACAGGGTGCTGAGATAAGACACACATCAGGTCTTCAGGTCCTGCCAGGCTATTAGAAAGAGAGGTGTAGTAATTGCACCTTACAGATAAGACCGGTCTATGTCAGGGTTGATGGTGAATTGGCTGGGCTTACGGAGAAGGAGCTGTGTTTTATGGTGGTGACAGAGGTATTGAAGTGGGGTGAGAAGACACACAGCATGAAGGAGAGGAGCATGGTGTGATGGAGAAGCACACGGCACCTCTGGGGCTGGAACATAGCGGGAGAGGAGGCTGATGGGGCTCCTGCATCCGGAATCCTGAGGATTTGCTAGGAAGATTTCCTCTTTGAGGAAGCAGGAGCCTCTGAAGCAGACGAGTGGCCATTTTTGACTTCTGTAGCCAGAGGAGCATTGTTCTGACAGCTGGTGGAGGATAAGTGGAGTGATACAGGATAATACTCGCAGACTGAGACATCATTATACTAATGTAGGTGTGAGCTGGTGGGGGCTTGGGGGTGGCTGTCTGTGCTGGGGATGGAGAAGGGGAATTGGAAGAGGGATGTTTAGAAGGTAATGTGACTGATCAATGGCAAGGAGTGAGAGGATGGCAGTCAGAGAAGGAGGAGAACCTGGAACAACTCCCAGGCTTCTTGATCTACCAGATCCTGGGATATGAGAGAAGGAGAGAGAAGAGCAGTTTAGGACACACCATGTCTTAGGCTGATGGGGCATTTGGGTAGCCTTGGCAGATAGGCAGTGGGTTTTCAGTTGGAGCTCGACAGTGTCAATTTCCAAATCATAACTGAACAGAGATGTACTGAGCAGGAGATGTACTCAGCACACTGAAAAAATTACAGTAGCCATAAGTGAATTTCAGTTCCCCATTGTGACATTCCCTGTGAGGCTGAAGGGCAGGCTGGGGACTGGGACACCCTGACCTTGCTGTAACTTGGGGAGCCCTCTTTAGGAAGTAAATGTGCAATTGGAATAAAAAATTAAGAACGGGCTTTTGAAAAGCCCATGAGGAGAAGAGAGCAGAAATTTCATTAGCCCAAGGGGTATCCACCTCTACTGAGACCTGCCATGGGCCCTAAAGACTTAGCCTGAGCTATAGTGAGGCAGTCCCAGCTGCAGGGAACAAGAGGCAGGGCGCCTGTCCCTTTTGCTCACAGCCAGCACCATCACCATCTCTCTTCCATGTAGGCTCAGGTGGTAAAGCATCTGCCTGCAATGTGGGAGACCTGGGTTCGATCCCTGGGCTGGAAAGATCCCCTGGAGAAGGCAATGGCAACCCACTCCAGTATTCTTGCCTAGAAAATTCCATGGACGGAGGAACCTTGTAGGCTACAGTCCATGGGATCGCAAAGAGTGGGACACGACTGAACCACTTCACTTTCACTTTCTTTTCTTCCATATAAGGCACCTGAGAGCTTCTGAATGCACAGAGCATACTCCCAGGCTTCAGACCTGTGAATCTAAAGAGACGCAGGCACGTGGAAAGTGACCACTGGTGCACATTTACGTATGAGTGCCCCAAATCTGTCTTCAGCTAAAGATGGAAAACTCACATGAAACTGTCAGAATGGAGAAAGGCCCCAGTCTCCCCTGATCCCCCCCTCTTTCATCTCTGACCCAGCGACTGAATGTCTAGAAAGCCTCACAGTCAATTCTGACTCGGTGGCCAGAGTTGAGGATCACCCCAGAGGCCAGCGGTTCGTCCTTTCTGAACTCAGACTCAAGGAGGATCAGCCACACATGGCAGGTGTGCCCGGCAGGGCCTCTGCACCTGGGGAGCTGGCCACAGGGCTCAAGTTCAGGCCAGCTCTGAATGAGGGATGGCCCTCCAGGCAGCAATCACACCCTGGCAAATGGGGCCAGGCAGAGCTCGCCACCTGGGACCCCTGCAGCACTCAGGAAATGGGGAGTGGCACCCAGTTTTGGGCACCTGAAAGCCCTTTTGTAGCAAGCAACAGCTGCCCCTCCAGCCCAGGCAGGAGTCTCCCTGACACTCTGACCCAGTCACAGCAGCTAGGCCCTATGGCACCGAGACAGTGGGAGTCAGCTTTCAAGTAGGGGCAGGACCAGGGTGAGCCGCACCTTTGCCTTCAAAGGAGCTGGAGGCATCTCTCGGCGTCCTCGGCCGCAGTAGCATCAGCAGATCATGCACACCGCCAGAAACAAGCCCTCAGTAGTCTCCTGTGAGAATGCACTCAGGTGCCTCCGTAGGGGCCCCAAGAAGAAGCAGGTAGCTAATGACTGTCCCAAAGTGGGCAGCACCACAGCTGTTCCAGCTTCTCTGCAGGTTGGGGGTACTAGTTTGCCAGTCTGGTTTCAGTCTTCCCTACATGGCTTAATCCTCACTCTGAAGCCCTGGGGGCTTTGAGGGAGATGGAG